ATACTGGATTCCCCACCCAGGGATTCACCCAGAACAGCTGGATTAGGAGAATCTGGGGTCTGGGCTGGTACTACCGGAGATGCTGACTAGCTCTCCAGAAGAGAATTTTCACTGTAAAGACTTGTTTATAGTACCAGGAAAGTTTGCCCTCAGTTGCCGTTACCTTGGGCATCCTATACACCCCTTACCACATCCAAGTTGAATTCCCCTAATAAAAATCCAAAAAAATAAGCTTGAAGGACTGGTTACTATCTCCTGGATGCAAGTCTGTGTGGAAAACACATGTTGTCTGGCTGTGAAGGACTATAGGGGGACCCAAAACATTAGCGACTCCTAAGGGGGTAGTGCTACACAAGGATAGTCCTAAACAGTCTGACCTTGATCAGAGCATATCTTCATACTGCTGAATGTGGAGCAAGAAGGAACTATGTGTGACCACCCCTATAGTTCAAATAAGTGTTCAATTTATTGTGAATTGCCAGTTTGTATGAATGTACAAAAATGTACTTAGGGGTCCGTTCATAATGGAGAGTAGATACCACTATCTGCTCTCCTCTGAACACCATAAAGATTACTCTACACTGGATCTGCATTTTATGATTAATTCATAAAATGCAAAGCTAGTGTGTAATCAGGGGTATCTCTCCTCTTCTCCTGCAATGTCCATGTTCTCTGCTTGATGCTGCAGAAAACATGATTGGAGAAGAGGATCTCCTCCCATCACTTTTTTTTGTTCATTGGAATGAAGGGGGCTATGCTTTCTTTGGTGTCCGGAAGCAAGCAAAGAATTAAGCACATTAGTAAAGTGTAATGTTTGTACTTGATCTTTCTTTCCAGGTATATATATATATATACAGTTGCAAGAAAAAGTATGTGAACCCCTTGGGATTATGTGGAGTTTTCCATGAATTGGGCATCAAATGTGCTCTGAACGTCATCTAAGTCACAACAATAGAAGAACACAGTCTGCTGAACATAATACTACACAAACATTAGATGTTGCCATGGTTTAATTGCACATAACATGTAAACATTCACAGTGTAGGGAGGAAAAAGTATGTGAGTGTCAGGAATGGACTAGCCAGCAATGGTGGGACTCACCTGCCTTTTGATCTGCAGTACCAGGGCTGGCCAGCGGGTGCTCCCAGCAATCAGAGACTCAACTTTGCAGCCAGCTAACACCTGGAACTGATTATGCTGGGGTATTTAAGGGATGGCCAGACTTGCAGACTCTACCTTGGTGTTGTGTTCTCTTGGGCCCTGTATCCTGTTCCTGCTCTCTGTTCCTGTCTGATCCTCTGTACTACGCTGCTTGCTACCTGTTCTGATCCCTGGCTTGTGACCCTGACCATCCCTCTGCCTGACCCTCTGTACTACGCTGCTTGCTACCTGCTGAACCTGGCCTGTGACCCCGACCAATCTCCGCTTGCTCCCCCTGTACCTACCTGCCCTATTGATATTGACCTGGCCTGCCTGACGACGCTTGCTTGTATGTACTGTTATCTGTGGGTGGTTGGTTTGGTTTGGTTTGGTTGCACTGTATTATGTTTTAGTATTGCACTGCGTTTATGTTTGAATTGTTAGTGTTAATAAATTATATTGTTTATAACATATCTGAGGTCTGCGTTTCCCTGCGTCAGCCACACACCTCTGGTCACACCTGGGAGCCCTGACATTACACCAAGGCCAATCCTGACCAGAAGTGGCTGCACAGGGAAGCCATCTTGGCTTGTTGCTGGGAAGGATGGATCTGGATGAGGTTGTGTATTTATATCTGCTAGTGTTTGATGACAGGGAGTATGCTTATCAAACTCTGAAGGAGTATCCCCGGGATCAACTACTAGAATGTATACGGCTCGCTCATGTTCTAGTACAGTGGTGGGCAACCTTTTTTTTCAACTGAGCCAAATCTCGCCAAAACCATGATTGAAATTTATTTTGAGAGCCACATTTTTAAAACTGAAAATACATCTCCCATATAGTAATTCATCCCCCATAGTAATTCATCCCCCATATAGTAATTCATCCCCCATAGTGTAATTCATCCCCCATAGTAATTCATCCCCCATATAGTAATTCATCCCCCATCGTAATTCATCCCCCATAGTAATTCATCCCCCATAGTAATTCATCCCCCATATAGTAATTCATCCTCCATATAGTAATTCATCCCCCATATAGTAATTCATCCCCCATAGTAATTCATCCCCCATATAGTAATTCATCCCCCATAGTAATTCATCCCCCATATAGTAATTCATCCCCCATAGCAATTCATCCCCCGTATAGTATTTCATCCCTCGTATAGTATTTCATCCCCCGTATAGTATTTCATCCCTCATATAGTATTTCATCCCTCATATAGTATTTCATCCCCCATATAGTAATTCATCCCTCATATAGTATTTCATCCCTCATATAGTATTTCATCCCTCATATAGTATTTCATCCCCCCATATAGTATTTCATCCCCCCATATAGTATTTCATCCCTCATATAGTAACATCCCTCATATAGTATTTCATCCCTCATATAGTATTTCATCCCCCCCATATAGTATTTCATCCCTCATATAGTATTTCATCCCCCCATATAGTATTTCATCCCTCATATAGTATTTCATCCCCCCATATAGTAATTTATCCCTCATATAGTATTTCATCCCTCATATAGTAATTCATCCCTCATATAGTAATTCATCCCTCATATAGTATTTCATCCCTCATATAGTATTTCATCCCCCCATATAGTATTTCATCCCTCATATAGTATTTCATCCCCCCATATAGTATTTCATCCCTCATATAGTATTTCATCCCCCCATATAGTATTTCATCCCTCATATAGTATTTCATCCCCCCATATAGTATTTCATCCCTCATATAGTATTTCATCCCCCCATATAGTATTTCATCCCTCATATAGTATTTCATCCCCCCATATAGTAATTCATCCCCCATATAGTAATTCATCCCCTCATATAGTAATTCATCCCTCATATAGTATTTCATCCCTCATATAGTAATTCATCCCTCATATAGTAATTCATCCCTCATATAGTATTTCATCCCCCCATATAGTATTTCATCCCTCATATAGTATTTCATCAATCCCCCCATATAGTATTTCATCCCCCATATAGTATTTCATCCCTCATAAAGTAATTCATCCCTCATATAGTAATTCATCCCTCATATATAGTATTTCATCCCCCACAGTACTATTCCCCCCCCCCCCTTCTAGTAAGCCAAGTCCCCCGTGTCAATTCACTTACCTTTTGCGTTCCTCTCGCTGTCTTCCCGCGCCGTTCGGGTCTTCAGGGCGGACTGTGAGAGGAGCCTATCTCCCCTCCCCTCACGTTCGGCACGCTGCCCCCGCCTACACACATCCTGACAGCCACATCCGCGGGCCGGATTAAAAGGTCCGCGCGGACTTTTTGGGGCTGCCAACCGAGAGGAGGCAGGGGAGCGGCCGACCGAGAGGAGGGAGGGGAGCAGGCGCCCGGCACACAGAAGAGCCGCATTAGAGTGGTTAAAGAGCCGCATGTGGCTCGCGAGCCGCGGCTTGCCGACCACTGTTCTAGTAGATCAGGGCACAGAGTTCTCTGAGGTGCAGCCTTTGATTGAGGTTTGTGCTGAGTTGGTTTCATCTGGTTCCCCCGAATGCAGGGATGAATTTTTGCCACCATTTAGTGCAGACCAGGTAGAGTCCCTGGTGTGGTTATTAGAGGATGATGTGGGTTACTTTCTGGAGCGTTATTCCACATGTTCACCACAGACACTAAGAGATTGTATAAACGCAATGCAGTCATTGACCAGACAGGCTTTGTGTAAACTCAGCTTTGTTCAACCCATACTGCAGACATGGACAGACTTGTTGCACCCAGCCTCAGTCAGCTTACAAAAACCCAGTCCTGCTTCTAACTCTACTCCTGTATTCCCACCAGCTCCTCCAGTTACAGCCCAGTATACTTGGCTATCTACCGCATGTCAGTACCCTGTTCCCACTCGCTGCACCTATCCTGCCTTTAACCCTGTAAAAAAGCCCTCTGTAGCAAGCAACTGCTCCCTCTCCTGTTCCATCCTCCAGTTTTTCTCTGTCTCCAGCTGCTCCATTCGTTTGCAGACCTGCGTTTACTTGCAGTGCTCCAGTAGTTAAAACCAGAAAAAAGCGAAAATTCTTTCCAACTAATACCATCCTGCCAGTATCCAAACCGGTGAACCTGCCTTCCGTGACTCAGCCTGAAGCCTCTACTCAGCCTGAAGCCTCTACTCAGCCTGAAGCCTCTACTCAGCCTGATGCCTCTACTCAGCCTGATGCCTCTACTCAGCCTGATGCCTCTCTACAGCCGGATGCCTCTCTTCAGCCGGATGCCTCTCTTCAGCCGGATGCCTCTCTTCAGCCTGATGCCGCTACTCAGCATGATGAACTGATCCAGCCCGACGATCCTATTAGGCCAGTTGACTCGGTGCCCGCAGTCTTGCCAGACGACTCGGTGCCCGCTGTTCCGCCAGTTGACTCGATGCCCGCAGTCTTGCCAGACGACTCGGTGCCCGCAGTCTTGCCAGACGACTCGGTGCCCGCTGTTCCGCCAGTTGACTCGATGCCCACAGTCTTGCCAGACGACTCGGTGCCCGCAGTCTTGCCAGACGACTCGGTGCCCGCTGTTCCACCAGTTGACTCGATGCCCGCAGTCTTGCCAGACGACTCTGTGCCCGCAGTCTTGCCAGTTGACTCGATGCCCGCTGTTCCGCCAGTTGACTCGGTGCCCGCAGTCTTGCCAGACGACTCGGTGCCCGCAGTTCCGCCAGTTGACTCGATGCCCGCTGTTCCGCCAGTTGACTCGATGCCCGCAGTCTTTCCAGACCACTCGGTGCCCGCTGTTCCGCCAGTTGACTCGATGCCCGCTGTTCCGCCAGTTGACTCGATGCCCGCAGTCTTGCCAGACGACTCGGTGCCCGCAGTCTTGCCAGGCGACTCGGTGCCCGCAGTCTTGCCAGACGACTCGGTGCCCGCGCAGTCTTGCCAGACGACTCGGTGCCCGCAGTCTTGCCAGACGACTCGGTGCCCGCTGTTCCGCCAGTTGACTCGATGCCCTCTGTTCCGCCAGTTGACTCGATGCCCGCAGTCTTGCCAGACGACTCGGTGCCCGCAGTCTTGCCAGGCGACTCGGTGCCCGCAGTCTTGCCAGACGACTCGGTGCCCGCAGTCTTGCCAGACGACTCGGTGCCCGCAGTCTTGCCAGACGACTCGGTGTGCCCGCTGTTCCGCCAGTTGACTCGATGCCCGCAGTCTTGCCAGACGACTCGGTGCCCGCAGTTCCGCCAGTTGACTCGATGCCCGCTGTTCCCGCCAGTTGACTCGGTGCCCACTGTCGTGCCTGGTGACTCGGTGCCCGCCGCTCCGCCTGGGGGCCCGAGACCTGTCGCTCCGCCTGGGGGCCCGAGACCTGTCGCTCCATCTGGGGGTCCGGCGCCCGCCCGCCCCGCCTGAGGGCCCGATGCCTGTCGCCCCGCCTGGGGGCCCGATGCCTGTCGCCCCGCCTGGGGGCCCGATGCCTGTCGCCCCGCCTGGGGGCCCGATGCCTGTCGCCCCGCCCGGGGGCCCGGCGCCCGCCCCTCCCGGGGACCCGATGCCGGTCGCCCCGCCCGGGGGCCCGGTGCCTGTCGCCCCGCCCGGGGGCCCGGTGCCTGTCGCCCCCCGCCGGGGGCCCGGTGCCTGCTGCTCCGCCTGGTAATCCGATGTGCCTCTGCCCGGAGTCCTGCCCGATGTGCCTCTGCCCGGAGTCCTGCCCGATGTGCCTCTGCCCGGAGTCCTGCCCGATGTGCCTCTGCCCGGAGTCCAGCCCGATGTGCCTCTGCCCGGAGTCCTGCCCGATGTGCCTCTGCCCGGAGTCCTGCCCGATGTGCCTCTGCCCGGAGTACTGCCCGATGTGCCTCTGCCCGGAGTCCAGCCCGATGTGCCTCTGCCCGGAGTCCAGCCCGATGTGCCTCTGCCCGGAGTCCTGCCCGATGTGCCTCTGCCCGATGTGCCTCTGCCCGGTGTGCCTCTGCCCGGTGTGCCTCTGCCCGGTGTGCCCCTGCCCGGTGTGCCGCTGCCCGGAGTCCTGCCCGGTGTGCCAGTCTTTGATATCCCGCCAGTTACCAGACCCGGGCGGTGGAACATTTTGCCCAGCTAGGACTGTTTGGAGCGTCCTGAGGCCGCTCCTTGAGGGGGGGGTACTGTCAGGAATGGACTAGCCAGCAATGGTGGGACTCACCTGCCTTTTGATCTGCAGTACCAGGGCTGGCCAGCGGGTGCTCCCAGCAATCAGAGACTCAACTTTGCAGCCAGCTAACACCTGGAACTGATTATGCTGGGGTATTTAAGGGATGGCCAGACTTGCAGACTCTGCCTTGGTGTTGTGTTCTCTTGGGCCCTGTATCCTGTTCCTGCTCTCTGTTCCTGTCTGATCCTCTGTACTACGCTGCTTGCTACCTGTTCTGATCCCTGGCTTGTGACCCTGACCATCCCTCTGCCTGACCCTCTGTACTACGCTGCTTGCTACCTGCTGAACCTGGCCTGTGACCCCGACCAATCTCCGCTTGCTGCCCCTGTACCTACCTGCCCTATTGATATTGACCTGGCCTGCCTGACGACGCTTGCTTGTATGTACTGTTATCTGTGGGTGGTTGGTTTGGTTTGGTTTGGTTGCACTGTATTATGTTTTAGTATTGCACTGCGTTTATGTTTGTATTGTTAGTCTTAATAAAATTATATTGTTTATAACATATCTGAGGTCTGCGTTTCCCTGCGTCAGCCACACACCTCTGGTCACACCTGGGAGCCCTGACAGTGAGGCCCTAGCTTAGTGACCTCTCCCAGAGCTAATTGGAGCCAGGAGTGAGCCAACCTTGACTCCAATCAGTGTGATGATATTGGATGTGTTGCTGACAGCTGTCCTGCCCTTAAAAAACACACACCTGTTTTGGGTTTACTGGTTTCAAGAAGCACTGTCTGATGTGAACCATGCCTCGCAGAAAAGAGCTCTCAGAAGACCTACGATCAAGAATTGTTGACTTGCATGAAGCTGGAAAGGGTTACAAAAGTATCTCCAAAAGCCTTGATGTTCATGTGTCCACGGTAAGACAGACTGTCTACAAATGGAGAAAGTTTAGCACTGTTGCTACTCTCCCTAGGCCTGGTCGTCCTGTAAAAATGACTGCAAGAGCACAGCGCAGAATGCTGCATGAGGTAATGAAGAATCCCAGAGTGTCAGCTAAAGACCTACAGAAATCTCTGGCACATGCTAACATTTTTGGTGACACATCTACAATAAGGAAAACATTAAACAAGAATGGAGTACATGGGAGGACACCACGGAGGAAGCCATTGCTGTTCAAAAAGAATATTGCAGCATGTTTGAAGTTTGCAAAAGAGCACCTGGATGTTCCACAGCACTACAGGCAAAATATACTGTGGACAGATGAAACCAAGATTGAGTTGTTTGGGAAGAACACACAACACTATGTGTGGAGAAAAAAAAGGCACAGCACACCAACATCAAAACCTCATCCCCACTGTAAAACATGGCGGAGGGAGCATCATGGTTTGGGGCTGCTTTGCTGCCTCAGGGCCTGGACGGATTGTTGTCATTGATGGAAAAATGAATTCCAGAGTTTATCAAGACATTTTGCAGGGAAACGTACGACCATCTGTCTGCCAACTGAAGCTCCGCAGAGGATGGGTGATGCAACAGGACAATGACCCAAAGCTTACAAGTAATTCAACAAAACAATGGCTGCAACAGCACAGAATACGCCTTCTGGAGTGGCCCAGTCAGAGTCCTGACCTCAACCCAATTGAAATGCTGTGGCATGACCTTAAGAGAGCGATTCACACCAGACATCCCAAGAATATTGCTACACTGAAACAGTTTTGTGAAGAGGATTGGTCCAAAATTGCTCCAGATCGTTGTGCAGGTCTGATCTGCAACTACAGGAAACGTTTGGTTGAGGTTATTGCTGCCAAAGGAGGGTCAACCAGTTATTAAGTCCAAAGGTTCACATACTTTTTCCTCCCTGCACTGTGAATGTTTACATGCTATGTGCAATTAAACCATGGCAACATCTAATGTTTGTGTAGTATTATGTTCAGCAGACTGTGTTCTTCTATTGTTGTGACTTAGTTGACGTTCAGAGCACATTTTATGCCCAATTCATGCAAAACTCCACGTAATCCCAAGGGGTTCACATACTTTTTCTTGCAGCTGTATATACCCGGGCAGCACAGTGGCTAAATGGTTAGCACTTCCGCCTGGCAGCACTAGGGTCGTTGGTTCGAATTCCAACCATGACACCACCTGCCTGGAGATTGCATGTTCTCCCTGTGTCTGCGTGCGTTTACTCCGGGTACTCTGGTTTTCTCCCACACTCCAAAGACATGCTGTTAGGTTAATTGGATCCTGTCTAAATTGGCCCTAGTATGTGTATGTATGAATGTGAGTTAGGGACCTTAGATTGTGCGCCACTTGAGGGTTAGGGACTGATGTGAATGTACAAATATATATATAAAGCGCTGTGTAAACTGATGGTGCTATATAAGTACCTGAACTAAATATATATATATATATATAGAGAGAGAGAGAGAGAGAGAGAGAGAGAGAGAGAGAGAGACCTCCTAGTTTGCTAGGGGGAGCTAGTAATCCTGATTATCTCAGAGAAGGGCTGAGTAGCAGTCTGGGTGTGATAAGCAGGAGGTTAAATTTGGGTCAGGGCTTAGAGGTTCTGCAGGCCAGCCCCTCTGGAATTTTTCCCTGCTCTAGAGTTTTGGAGGAAGGTCTAGAGGTAGTGGGTGGATCTGAGGAGTGGCTGACTTGTACTCTTGAGGGATAATGGCCAATCCCCAACAGGAGGCTTGGCAAGGGGCCAGGATAAAGCATAAGGGTAAGGGAGCCTGCTCAGCAGCAGAAGTAGGAGGTGGGAGGAGGAGGAAAGGAGAGCAGGAGCCTGGGAGAGAGCCCAGACTGGAAGGGGCTTGCCTCCAGGAGTGATGCTGGAGTTAAGCAAAACTGTGGACTTCACTGGCCCCCTGAGAGAGGACCACCTGGTGGCAGGGAAGTACCGGTCCAGCTTATAGGCCTGGTAGGAGACACCGACCCAACAGCAGCACAGGATAAGGACTCAGTGAGTACACCCCCTGGACAAGAGAAAAGAGAGAGCATTTGGGTGGGAAATCTAACTCGCTCTGCAACTGGGCCTATTGCCCTTCTATTAGTAACTACTGGAACCCCTGTCCAGGGATACCTCCATTCAGCTGAATTGAGGAGCATCTGGGGTTGGAGAGGTACATTGGGAGATGCTGGATAGCTCTCCAGAAGTGGATTTCTTTGTAAAGACCTGTAATATAGATCTGGAAGATCTTGTCCTCAGTTGCCATTCCCTTGGGCATCTCATACACCCCTTACTTAGTTCTAAACCCCTAATAAAACTTCAAAACAAAGTGCAAGGACTGGTTTCTGTCTCCTGGTACAAGTGGTGACCCAAAACTCAGCGACTCCTAAGGGAGTAGTAATATATATATGGCCCCTTGCCAAGCCTCCAGTTGGGTTTGGCCATGATCCCTCAAGTCAGCCGCAATATGGCTGCAGTAAGGCTATGCTACTGTTTTATAAACCCTAGGTATTGAATACGATTACTGAAAACCCACATAAATGGTGGCCCACCCTTTACATGTTTTGGGGGCCCATTCCATTTGCTACTGTGGTGCTCTGCTGGTATAATATCTCTACGCCTGAAACCCAGAACTGAGATGGCCTGACCAGAGCAAACTGAATTATTCCCAATCCAATGATGTGAAGGCACAAGCTGTGCCATAGTAGAGATTAAAGAGGAACCAGTCAGAAACAGGTAAGCGGTGTCTGCTGAGAGGGGGATGGTATTCATTTAGAAGAAGAGTGTGTCTCTTTTCAATATTTAGAAACCTTTTTTTTAAAGCACTCAATTAATAACGCTCAGTTGATGACCTGGGGGTGCATGCTGCCATTTTGAGTTAACTCAGCATGTATTGGTTAATAATTAATTTTGTTAATATTGATTTTTCCTTCCTTCTTTAAGAGGAAAGATAACTAATTAGGAGCTTACAACTTTTCTGCACTGTACAACACAAGTCAGAATCATAGATTTACTGTATAATAAAATCCTGTAAAAATAGTGGACAAAAATGGTTAAGAACTTCCATGCAAGAAAACAGCCAGTGTTTGCCCGAACATCCATTACTGTGATGTCTGTCACTCTCAGGGGTCAGGCTCAGAGGCCAGAGGCTATAGCAGTGGAGAGTTTCACACAGAAACCATCAGGATAAATGCACAAGAAAGTCCCCCTGGCAGGCGAGGCTTACCCAAAGCATGGGGTCTACTCAGTATCTGGTCTTCAACCAAGCTCCTGATGGTGGACATGGATTTTGCTTTGTGCTAATTCCAGGTCAAAGTTCTAAGGATCACCCCACCAGGAGGTGAGCCAGACAGGGAGATGTAGCAAGTAGGGATCAAGCAGAAGCATAGTCAGTAAACAAACCAAGGATCGGAAACAAGTGGTTGTAGGTTGGGACCAAGCGGAAGATAAGATGAAGAACAAGCCAAAGGTCAGTAAGAAGTGGTAATGGAGATACAAACGGTAGCAGGAGTGTAAGGAAGCAAGATATTGGCTGTACTGTAGAAGAGCAC